AGGTAGGAAGAATATAATTACCTGAACTGGACTGTAGCCAGGATAATGGTATTAATTTATTTCAAGAAAGCCAGAAGTGCCAAACCCTGGATTTTACATTTAAATCCAGAAGATGGCAAATCACAGCATCCCAGCATTCTATTCTCCCAGCATTCAGCTGGAAGGAAAGGTCTCCTGATAGGTTTTCACCCCTAACGCATACCGCCGGTGGCCACGATGGGAAAGCTCACCTTCAGCTTCATTTGGGAAGCCCGATGCCATCCCAGCACACAGCCCTGTAGCTACCGATGCTCTTCTACAAGGCACGCATCACCGAGGCAATGCCTGCACCTTGCAGTACAGAGAAAACATTATCCCACTCCCCATAACTTGCCTGCAGGCAATAAAGCCACAGTCAGTCACAAATACAGTCACAAGCAAGCTCTCTCAAGCGTAGCCCCTAGTTCGATCTGGCATTAATTATCCACTGTTCTGCAGAGATAAATGCTTAATCCTCTGGCTGTTGACGCTGGAAATGGACCAACCTACCCTGGGGTGGATATTATACAGGGGATCTTGGCTTCAGCTATGATCCCCACATCACGTGCTGTACAAATGTTCACTGGCTCGTAGGTAATGGATTTCATAGGGTGTATGGGATCTTTCCGTGGCAGAGCTAATCCAGAATAACACATGACTCAAGCATTCATTGTATCAAGTTTTTCTTCCTCCCTCTATTTCTTTTTTCTTTGACGTAATACTTCAAATTTCATGTGGAATTTCTCATTTTCAGACATTCTCTATTTCCTTATAGCTTACCAGCTTTCTTCCTCCAGGACCGATACCAAGGTGAACTTCCTAAGCAGCAGTGCCCAAGGGATGTGGAGATGGGTCTGCACAACCCCTGCTTTTCTGGGTGTCTTTGACTTTCTTCCAGGAGAAAGGCCAAAGATCTCCACATTGCTTCTCTGGTTTCACATTCCCCGGAAAGCCTAAATCAAGAAGTTCGCTTGTCAGGGAGAAAGAAGCAATGCTGATGCCACCAGAGATGGGAAAACTGTTCTCATCTCTGACCAAGCTGCTAAGGACTTTGGTCTTTCCCATGTCTGAGCAGTCCTACTAATGCCACCATGTGCCAGGAGGGCAAACCACTGTCCCAGACCCATTGCCACCAGCTCTGCTGCCCCAGCCAGGTGTTTCGGGACACTTGGGGAGTCCGGACACTGCTCCCTCCTTCCCACTCCCACCTGGGCTTTCTTGCCTCTCCTCTACTTGCTCTTCCCTTCCCAAGGGCTGTCTTACAGGCAGTTTCTTTGCAAAGGCGAATTTTAAACCCAAACGCAGGAACAAGTTTGGAGCAGAGTATTATTGTACACAGAGTCAGAACATAAGTCACAAGTACTTGGGAGCACCAGTTTGCTCCCCATTTAACAACAAAATAGGCTTTCAAGATAGCACTCTTCTACACAGGCTTTGAACGGCTGCATCCACAGATAGTCAATACAGGGGTCCAAATACAGGAAATATGACAGGGAGTCAGCAGACAGTGGCGGCACTCATTTTTCCTGAAAACATAATCTAAAAAGAAGCTCTGGGTCAACACAAAATCCACTATTTAGCTTACAGTGCTGCGCTCCATGTTGTACACGCAGCCCCTGCTTCCAGTGAGCTTTGCAGTCTAACTAGCCAGTGCTGGGGGAAACTGAGGCGGGGGAAATGAAGTGCTTTCCTCAATGCCACACAGTCAGCAAGCAGTGGGCTGGAAGCAGATCGCATATGTCCAGTAGGACCTAGAGAGCTCAGAATCCAACTGAACCATGCGGTGCTCTGTACCTAATATGACGACAGAAGCCTGCAACTTTTTCTCGAGATCAAATCTGGCTGCTCTCACCACCTTCCCTTTAGTAAGAGGTGGCTGAAGCCTTCTATACAAATTCCTGCAGAAAAAAGGAGCTTGCTGGGAGTATTACACACACAGAGCGAGTTAAATTTTTTTTGTTGGCCTTGTTTGTTTTACTAAAGCAGTATTTCTAGTCTTAGTCCAATGGAAATAAACTTTCGGCCCACCTGAACACAGAAGTTAGCCTTTGCCACCATCGTGCTCAATTTAATCCAAAAATTACAGTGAGGCAAAGAACTGGCATTAGAAAAAAGCTGAACTTTTTATTGGATTTTGTGTTCCTTAACAACAAGATACAGAGAGGGGCTACTTGTTCCTATGCTATTCCTGGGCAGTTTCACCTCGTCTGTGAGAACGGACTAAGATCTATGAAGCAGAGAATGGGAGTTTGAAGCCCAGCCAGTAAGAGCATGAGAAAGGGCTCCAGCAACTCTGGTTTCTCCTTTCCTTGCTCTAAGAAAAGAAAGCGGGTTCTGGAGATTAAAACAAAGATCTTGCAATCCAGACTCCTGGGGTCTGTTCCCAACTTCGCCGCTGACTTAAGAGCGCATGCAAGTAAACATACTTCATCCCTCTGCCCCAGCTCCTCCCATGTAAACACAGAGGTGATGTTGCTACTTCACCACATGAGCAAGTCTGCAAAGCGTAGGCTTCGATGCCCCTGCGTGAAAGGTGCAGAGGATGCACAGACCAAGCAGTTGTCAACCGCATATCATCATCGCACCACCCCAGCAAAGCATCGGCTCTCAAGCTATGCTCCTCGGAGCCCGCCAGCAGAAATGGCAAATTATTTCTATCCAGCGAAATGAATATTGAGTCGTTCACATAATGTCAGAGGTCAGGGTTAAAGGCAGGGATGCTAGGGCTTCCTGGCAAAGGAGAATTGTAAGCTTATCCTTCCAACGTCACATCCAGTCTCTGTAACGACTGCGCTAGACCTTTGCCCACATGTGGAGCTGGCAGTGCATAGTCTGCAGTCCATCTCTGAATGATCCTTTTCAGCAAACAGTCTCTTAATGATATCCCTAATCAACGACAGATTACAGTCTTGGAGCTCCAAACCCACAAAATCAATGAGGAAGCAATAGCAAGCAAGCACACCAAGCACATCTGGGAAGCCACCAAGCACAACAGGGCTATGATACATCATCCCTGGCTGACGGCTCCTTCTCCTACAGCCTTCTCCCACTCAAGACAGCTGATGTAGTAAATGGAAGTAGTAGGAAAAAGAAAGGAAACAGGAGCCTGGCAGTGAAGGAGAGGGGGAAGCAGCTGCTTCAAGCAGATATTGTGCTTGAGGATATATGGGAGTCCTGCTTCCCACCTGCTGCTTGGCCATTTGGGATTATCCCATATGGAGCATTCTCCAACACTTTGCCTAATCTACTCTTAAACTACTTAGCGTACATGCTCCCTTCTTTTCCAAGCAGGTGGCAAGACTACCACCTCAAAAGTGTCACTGCTGAGAAATGGCTCTGATAAGCGACGCAAAACCGCTTTGCTTCATTACATTGGATTCTGTCTAGTCTTGGGATGTCCTTGGAGCTCCCTAAAAATATACTTGCCGGCAGCAAGCTAATCCTTCCCTGTATTTTCATACAACACACACACTCAATAGAAACACGAAGAAGCACACACCGCCGTGTGTCCATTATTAAGCAGCTGCCTCTGGGAAGAGCAGAATAAGCTTCCAGTAGTACGCATGTTGGAGTTACAGGACCTTCTCTCCAAACATGCCACAGAGTATCCAGCTCCAAGAAACAGCAGGCTATATGAAATGCACCATTTGGTGTATGGAAACTAGCTGTGATCCTGCAAGCTTCCCTCTTGCGAGGTCTCCTCTCCTAAGCACTTTCATCTATAGAGAACGCCAGGAGCAGTACTCCCTTGATCAGCAAAGTCTGGCGCTGGTCAGTTCATATTTCTCCCAGGAAATACAACAAAACAGGTCACCAAACCGGTCTGTTGGTGCATATTCTCCGTGTCCACATTCTCCATGTCCATCTGCCCTGTCACAAACCTGACAGCTGGGCAACGCAAGCTTGCAAAACCACTCAAGTCTTGGATGACCCGGAAAAGCAGCTGCCAAATCGACATGCCATTCTGTGCTGGGCGGCACTGGACATCGTGACCTGCAAGCTTTCTAGAGCCCTCTGCACACAGCTGTTGCAATACCAGGCATAGTAAACCAAAGCACGGTGACAGAGCTAAGGTGGTGGTCTCAAGCCCATTGCTGTGGTCTAACCCGCTGGCTGTCCATGACATTCGTCCAGTATTCCTCTTGGGCTCACAGGTGCTCACTCCTCTTCCAGAGCTTACTGTGATGAGCACTTTTGTGTGGGAGCTGATTTACTTGCTGTGTGTCACATGTGGGTCAGCTCCTTTTCTCCTGTGCCTTCCAGGTGACAGCCTCTGGGACTAAAACGTGACTCAGCAGGCAAAATACAAGGTAATCCTGAAGTCCAGCTAAGCTACCATTCCTCTTTAGCCTGGGGACATCCTTTTTTCCAGGACCACAGTCTACCCTCCTTGCATCCTACTGTTCAGGCAGCAAAAGATGCCAGAACAAGACCACGTCAGGGCAGTGGCAGCAGGAGGCAGCTTATCTTTGTCCCTAAGGCAGGACAGCAGCTTTGATTTCTGCACTGCTTTTCACCTCCCAGTTATTAGGGCAGTGGGGATGGGTCCCCGACGCTGACTTCAGGGCTATCACCACATCTCCACGCTCCATTCTCTCCCTGTCTTCCTTCTGGTAAAATGGATGGTGTGGCGTAGGCACAGGGCAGGCTGCTTAGAGAGCAGGGACAGCATTAGGTCTTCCCTTCGCCTATCCTGGAGAAACATCTATCAACATCTATCGTCATCACATCAAGTTTCTGCATGCCAGCGTGAAGGCCACAAAAGCAAATCTTGTGTGCTGGCTGCCTTTAGATGTTAGAGATGTTCACAAACGTGGGGCAAGACAACAGGGCTTGTGGGCAGCCTGCATATCCTTCTCAGACTGTCCAGCTCAGCAGAGGTCAGGCATCTTCATTCCAGGCTCTCCATCAGGTCAGCAATGGAACAGACGCTACACGGCACAAAAGCATCTTCAGCCCCTGACACTGGGTTTAATCCATCACCCAGCCAAAAGAGAGAAGCCTGGAAGCAGCCTCATTAAGCACTGGCTGGAAAAATTCTTTACAAGAAGGTCCCAGACATGTTCAGTAAACACTGAAAATCAAATCATCCCATGCCTGTGACTGCTTCTCTCCTCCACTGCTGGCTACACCAGCCCTGGTTAATGTGCTGAAATGCCTGCTTTCTCCAGGCCACTAGAGGCAGACGGCGCGACAGCTGCGGTCTCGAGCTCATCGCTGGAGCCTTTCAGAACCAAGAACTCCAGCAGAATGTCCAAGAGGCAGAAAACCAGGTGCCTGAAATGGAGAGAAGACAAAGCTTAGGCTGGTCAGGGCACAGCGGAGCTGGGAGATCAGCTCCAGACACGCAGAAGCCAAAGCTCACGCAAGGAAGAAGTATTCTGACTGCCATCAGGGGAAAGACAAAAGATCTCGTACCCTAGAAGAAATGTTTTAAGGGATGGTTCAGGTTTTTTTCCACCCCTCAAACCAGTGGGTGTTTGAAGCTGCTGAGCAGCACAGGAAACACAGATGCATCTCCCGGAGTGAGGTGGCACATGCAGTTAATCACAAAAGCATTGCTTTCCAAATGCACAGCGATGGTATACAGAAAAACACTATCTACGCATATACACAGCTCCCTAAGTGCTTCTAAAACCAACAAACTAAACCAGGATTTGGTCTTATTTCCTCTGACAGTCCCTTGACATCCACAAACTAAGCAGGCCCAACAACGTAATTAACAAGACTGGCTCAATAATCTCCAGCCAGACCGAGGTCCTAGACATGCACCTGCATAATAAGCAAGCCAGATGCCCTTTGATAGTGTAAGTCTAGGAAAATTCGCCAGATATGTTCTGTGCCAAGAAGCTGGCAGCATGAATCTCACAGCGAAGCCCTGCGCATAGGTTACAGGCCCCATCACAAAGGCTATCAGGGTAAAGAGACTATAATCCACGTACCTGTTTATCACAGGCTGGCCCAGGGACTCCAGTACCAGGTTCCAGCTCATCCGACATTTACTGGTTCCAAGGATTTCTTGGATCACATCTGTCAACGTCAGAGACAAAGCTTTAGGAATTGCACGTTTCCATGGTAGTAAAACAGGGCCAGTCTTCTGCTAGTAGGTACTAAATCAAAGTTTGTGATGGTGCTCTGAGCCTGAGGCATGTAATGCCCAACATTACCATGAAAGAAAACAGACAGTGACAGGACCGAATGCCAGGAAAGCGTTCCAGCCTGGAAGGGCATATACTGGTAGCACCTTTTCATCCCCAAAGGATAGTAAGGGCCCCTTACTCTGCAGCAAGGAGTTAAAAGTTCAGACTGCACTCACATGGATTAGGCAGCAGCTGCTTTAATGTCAAAGGTCCCCGTGTCAAACTTCAAGAGAGGGAAATCCAGTGCAACTGGGCTTATGATTTCAGTCCGGTGGAAAAGCCACTCTTTAGAGCGAGAAGCCAAAGGCTTTGCCTTATGACTCTTCCCAGCAATGGTACCCTTCGGTAGCGGGTGGGAGCACAGCGTGGCACTGGCTTTCCTGAGCCCTACCTCGTTTGAGGTGGCTCAGCCGGAAATGCACCACCAGCACCAAGCACAGACTATGTGGCCGGTCTGCATCTGGGAATCACCAAGACATGCGTCCTTTCTCTCTGAGCTGTGCTACTTCCCGAATGCTTATGTAAACTATCCAGAACTGTGAAACTGCTACTTCCCGAATGCTTATGTAAACTATCCTGGGTGAAACTCTGGGTTTTGCTTGCAGGAAACCATTCAAACCTCAAAGATCATGAACGTTTCCCAGTGCCTTGGCATGAGCAGGCTCCATCTCTGTGTTTAACCACATTTCCAGAGATGCCAATGCACTGGAGGGTTCCCCAGCCTCCCCCACTGCTCCGTTTCTCAAGGGCAGCTGACACATCTCTGGGACACACTTACTAGGCAAGATCCCCATCAGGCTGTGCAGGGCCTGCTCTGCTGCTGCTTTCTTCTGTTCCTCTGTCCTGGCTGGTTTAGGCACTGCTGGTAAAACTCCTCCAGGCCAGATGGATTCCTGCAGCAACTGGAGGTACTGGACCCAACGCTGGGTGCAGGTCAGGTTAACCACCTGGACTTCTAGCCACCTGTGGGCACAGGGGGGGAGAGAGAGAGAGAGAGAGAGAGAAAGGTCAGGAGAAGTCAGGCTTGGTACCAACTCAGGAACTTTCTGCCTATCAGAGGCCCTGGAGTAGAAGATCAGCTTGCTGGGTAAGTTAATAGACAGTTTCCAAGTCTATGCCTTAAACATTTTCACAAGTATTAATTAGCTGAGTTTCCCCATGCACCAGAAATAGGTATATGTTCCCTATCTTACAGGCAGAAACACATACGTAAAGTCACAGGGGAAAAGCAAAAGCCATGAAAAGGTCCATCGCCCTGCTGTCCACAGGAAACCAAATGAGTAACTGGTCCCTAAAGGGAGCACAGCTAAAGGATATGTCTGGCCTTAACCTCTTAAGTTATGTCCATGCACAAGCTGAGACGGAGCTGGAAGAACCACCAAAACTGGTGTTTTAACTCTAAAACAACCCCCATGACTGACTGGAAAGACATGAGCACGTTCTGGCAACCAGTGCTCCTCTCATTAGTCCCTCTGCTACCAAAAGAGTCAAGGGTGTCTCGCCTGGAGACCAAAACGCACGCTCCCAGGATGGCAAGGCACGAATATCCTGCTGCTTTGCGCTCCTCTCACCCCCCTGCTTCCCTGCTGTCCAGTCCTGCTCTGTCCTCCGGTGGCAAGCAATGAAATCATCGCTGCTCCCATCCAAAACCCGGCGCTGCACATCTATTAAAAGGAAAGTTAGGTACCTGCCAACAAAACTGCTGGTCAGCCCTCCTGCTGGGCCAAGACTGTGCCCTTTATACGGTTACAACCTGCAAATCCCGAGGCCACGGGAATGCCGCTCCACATAAAGGCTCGGAGGTGTTTGCAGCCTGCAACGGGGGAGATGTGTCCACGCCACCCAAGCGCTGGCCAGGGAAAGTTTCTAAATCAATCATGCGGACCCTCTTTCCCAGACGTGAAATAATTTCTCCGTGTAATAGCAAAAGCCACAGCCGTCAGTCAAAACTCGTCACTGCCCAAAATCTTTCCCCCCAGAATAAGGAGAGGCCAGCGGACAAATCCCTGACGCCACGGAGGCCAACAGGAGGGTCCCCATCAATTTAGAAAGACCGGGACTCGGCGGTGCAGCACTGACGGCAATGGCCTGCTGCCACCGTCCTCATCAGCAGAAGGCTCCGGAGAAAAGAGGGGAGCGTCAGCACGGGGTTGGGGTAGGGAGAAGGCTTGCGATTTTGCCAGTACTTCAAGAGTCCCAGAGGAGAGGAGTCCGCAAGCAGGGCCAGGAGACCCGTTCCTCTTGGCAGCTGGTGTTCGTGCTTGCAATTCTGTCACCACTACGCCCCGGCAGCTCATAGTACATCCAAGAGCACGGGCCCTGCCAAGGCAAACTTTATTTAACCTGCGCTCTGCCAGACTGTCTGCATTCTTCTCAGGCGAGGCATTCGGGCCAAGGGCGTCTTTCCACACACAATCGGGACAATGCGAGCAGAGAGTCGGGAATAGCAACACCTGAAGGTAACCAAGGGCGAAGGAGCGGCAGGCAGCCATCATTGGAGCCAGGGCTGCAATGTGATGCTCCCTTCTTCAGCACGAAACGAGGTGCCTAGCTGCAGGTCTTTAAGGATGCAAAAGCAAAGACCATTAAAAAACCTGAAAATGAGCCTTGGTGCAGCAGTAAGGCCTGTTATCTCAGGGCACCGTCTTACTGGAGCACAGGCAATGCTCCTAGTGATCCCAGTAACAGCACTGGAAATGGGGGGAAACGGCCTTTGTTGCTACAAGATAGTGCCAGAGATCCAAAGCGTAGCTTCTACCTGTCTTAGAGGACAAAATGTCACAGCACAGTCTTGCCTGGGAAAAGGCCTTGTTTGAAATACAATTGCCTGAAAGGGTTTTTATCTCCAACCATCAGTAGAGTTTAACACCCTGGATCATGTTAAACCCTCCAGCCATCCCCAACCAAATTAAAGTGTTAAACTGTGGCTCCTCTAGGGGAAAGAGCTTTCATTAACATGGTTTTTCATTAACATGTTTTGTTATACAACCTGCTTTCCTAATTGAGAAAACATTTGACAAGCAACAGAAGTTCAGAGACTTGGGGACAGTGCTGCAAACAGTACAACCCTGCATCTAGGGAGATCAGATGGAACGTTGACTTGAAATTCATCTCAGCAATAGTCACTTACCATCCTTTAAAAGGTTGCAGAAGCAAAGAACAAGCTTTCTTTTTCTTAGGAATGTTCCTAAAATAGCAAAAAAGTCAAGCAAATAGTGGGCAGAGTGAAAGCTGAACTTGGAGAAGACAGCACACGTTTCCAGACAGCTCAAGAGCAGACCAAGAACTGACAAATGCTGGAAGGCCCCATACAAACAACCTACCATTTCTAGCTCATTTATTTCCATAAAGTCACCAGAACTAGGCAACCAGGCCTAGAAGTAACACCTATAAATCTGATCACATGTGCACGCATTGCGATTATGCAAGTGCTTACAGGTCTTAGTTCCCACAGTTGCAAAATACTGTTGATGGATTTTTTTCCTTAGTCTGGCAGCTCACTGCCTTCCACTTTGGGAAGCAAAGGGCAGGATCTGAGAACGGCTCCGTCGGTTTTGCCCCACCTGCGCTGACGCCTGCTACGGCTCCATGCAAGAAGAGGCAAACTTGCCCCATGGCGTGCTGCCCAGACAGCAGGATACTCAATGCTAGGAAAGGCAGAAGAGGCACCCAAAACCACAGAGCGTACAAAAAAAGGAAGAAACTAGACAGGAAAGGGGACAAAAAATGATTCTATGATTCTATGAAAGAAGAGAAACCAAAGCTGGGTGCAAATGGAAGGAAGACCGAAGTCACTGTGCTCTGGGTTCCCTTTTGCCAGTCCATCAGCGTGGGGACCCATCCCAAAAGCACTGGGAAGAGAGCAACTGTCAAGACTGGTCCATCTGGCTCAACATCCTCCCTGGGAGAGCAGCTGATGCTCTCAGATACTCCGAAAGAAAACATCAAAACAGAATAACCTGCCTTTTCCTCCCTGCACCTGTTAAAGTCACCGCCAACAGCCACTTGGGGGGATGCATACTGCATTTGCACAACACGCACAGGGGCATGCTCGAGCAACGGTTGTCAAATGGTGAGGAGCAAAGTAACTCCTCAGCTCTCACAACTGTAGTTGCAACTCAAGGAGGGTCACACCAAGCTTTACTGAAAAATCCTACCTGAGTAAAACCCAGATTTCTATGGCAAATTGACCTTTCCATCAGGCAGACTTGCTGCACCAGGATCAGGATTAACAGCTCACACTTCTCATGCAGGAACTCCAAATACGTGCTGGTCCAAAGCTGACCTTCGCCAGCAGATCACAGATGATTTTTCATACTATTAAAGGACTAAGCATTTGAGATCCATGTGCCACATCAAAAGCACACACACGCCTTCTCCCAGGTAGAAGTAAATCCAGCAAGAAACACAAATAGACCTTTTTTTTTTTTTTTGAATGGCTGACAGGTTACTATTTCCATTCTGCTATTTCATGAAGAAATAGCCTTAATAAGAAATAAAGAAAAACAAACCCACCACTGAACCACCTCCTTACACTTCAGCTGAGACCAGAAATAGATAGAAAGTGACCTCCTGGGCTCAGACGTTCAAATGCTTTGATAATGCCCAATGCAAAGAGACAGACTGCAAACGCTACGAAGTCCTGGACGTTAGTCTGGAGGAGCATAACTTGCCCATGCTGTAAGGGTCCTCTATTTGAAATAGCTGGTGATGGAGGAATGAAATGGCTGCTAAAAAAGAGCTGATTTAATGCCATGGCTTAAGCAGGAACTCTAAGGTCAGCCGAAGGGGCCCATTAAGACAGGAAAGGCAGAAATGCCCTGGGAATGAGAAACAAGGCCTGGGGCGTACATACCTTGGCCCTCCTCTGGCACCTAGAAGCTGCTAAGACCGATGGTAAAGGCAGACTGAGAGTCAGGAACAGGCAAAACACAGCATACGGACCTGGGTTTACCTGGCTCCTGCGAGCTGGATGCGCTCACTTAAGTGGATTACCCAGAGGGTTCACCTGCAGATAGAGAGAGCTCAACTCAGCAAGTAAAGGTTGGACAGGTTGGATTTGCTTAGTCTGGAAAATAAAAATGGACCAGGAATGGACAAAAAGATATGGTACTCTACAAATTTACAAAGAGCTGCTAGAAGCTGGTAAAGCTCCGCTTTTCCTGTCCATCAAGGTTAGGATAAGAACGGCTAAGTTCACTTGAGCTGAGGAATGGTTGAGTTACATGTGCTGATTGTAATTAAAATCTGAAGCAACAGCACTTATGATTCCCCCAAAATTGGGGATTTTAAGGATTTAGACAAACACAAACTGGAGGCCATGTTAGGAAGAAGATAAAGACGAGAAAGCCTCTACTAGTCTGCTTTAGCTTTATAAATACAAATAGCTCTATAAATATAGTAGCAGTAGCAAGTCCAGCTCAACATCTACTACTTTCCACCCCAGAACAAGGCCTCCATCTCCCTGAGGTCAGTTAACACGGCATGGCTAACCAGAAGCTCGAAAAAGGCCCGTGAGACCAAGGTAGTGAAAAGGATTTAAGAAAAAAGCAACTTCTGGAAACACACAAGGCATTCAAGCATCTGACTTATGAAATCAAGAAAGGCTGGTACTTAAATCACCAGACCATCCGTCCCTTCGCAGAACTTGTCCCCCAAATTCCTCCCCAATTTGTGCCTCAAACCACAAGAATATCCTTAATTCAAGGGCTCAGAAAGAGCAACATTTCAATGCTTTGACTGTAAAACTTTTCTGAGCAAAGCTTGTAAAACTGAAGAAACAGCTGCAGCGGGCACAGTTAGAAGAATGGAAAAACACAAATGAAGAGCTTTTGCCCTCAGGCTCGGCTTTTAGCACCTGCTACTTGAGCCCACGTCCACCTTCTCAGCAGAGCTGCCAGCAGAAACACGTGCAGCCGACTGCTGGCACGCTCAGCTCAAACACCTTCAAAGCAAACCCACAC